TGGGGGCGGTTTGTAATTTTTGAATTTTTTTTAAGAAGTTGCTTGTAATTTTCATATTTTAATGGTATGTAACTTTTAGAATATTTAGGTATTATTTATGAGTATAGTATTTTAATGGGAGTTATTTATAACTTTTTGTTTGTTTTGGGTGCTTGTAATTTTTAGATTTTAAAGAGTTTTTTTTTGTATTCTTGAATCTAAAGGTACTTTTTTCAATTTTTAGAATTTTCAAGGGTTTTTATAGTTTTTAGATTTTAAGGGTTTTTTATAATTTTTTTATCAAAAGGTTGTTTATAATTTTTAAATATTTTGGTGTTTGTTTACATATTTTTATTTTTCAAGGTGTTTTTATAGTCTTCATATGTTAATATATTCTTTTTGTAATTTTCAATTTTTTAGTGGGTCGTTGGTAAAATTCAGTGGGTTCTATCTAATTTTTATTTATTATTTTAGGGCTTTTTTGTAAATTTAAGAACTTTAGTAGGAAAAAAAACTATTTTATTCCATCATTGGCCTTGAGGACAGTATCATCCATATAAATTTATGGAGTACTGCTGTTATGAGTATTAAGTGCAAATAATCAAAACACTTTTAGGGGTTTCTTGAATTTCCCGATGTTATTAGGGGGGTTAATAATAATTTATAATTCTTTTGCAGTTTGCTATTGTTATGACAATAATTAGCCTAAGTGTTAATCCTTCTCTTTGAAGTCAACACATGTCCAATATTAGCATTAATTATCGGGTCAGGCCCCGGCCAGGGCGACTCGAGTCACCTGGGCGCTCAACCCTTCCCCGTGCCAGGCTAAACAGAGGTAAGTTTTCACTCGACCTCATCATTTGAGTCGACCACCCTCATTCCTTCAGAGCCGGGTCGATAACTTGTGAGACTGACAAAAAGGCAGTACTGGTCGTCCCATTCATAGAGCCGAATAGAGAGACAGTTCATCCTCGAACTTCACGCCAACAGATGTTCATCATTATCATTGCCAATGCCATAAGCCTCTATGAGTCATCACTCCCGTATCTCCTCAATCATGATCACATCATATCAATGATGACTCATCTTATATGCATTCAATACCTATCAAGCTACCCTGCCAATTCAGATGTTTACTTGGACTCAGCCAAAGTTACGCTTCTACCTCTCTCAGCTGGGTATATATATGGGCTCTTCGCCCACAGATCAGTGATCCCTCAGGTGCCCTTCAAGGCCATAGGTACGCCATTCTTGGCCAACTAATTTCATCGTCTACATATTGTGAACTTATTTAGTTTATTGGTTCCCCATTTAAGCTCTATACTGACTTGATCATCAGAGGAACCACCGGAGAATCCAACTTCTGTCCTCTAACATGTTCATTTTGCAGCTCTCTCATTCTAGATAGGAGATCGGCCATCCAAGGAAATAAGAAGACACACATCATCTATATCAATCCTAAACCCCATTGCTAACTTGGGATTATTTACTTATCTCATTACTGAGTCTCTGGACATCAACACTGGTGCCCACCATGGGGCCTCTGCTTCATTACTATTGGATGGGCAATCCCCTATATTTGAGCATCGAAATAAGTTGTCATCTCCATCTAAGCCCACGACAGTCAAGAGATTTCATCATAAAGCTATGATGGCAAGTTGGTCATAATATAACTTAAGGAAAACTCTTCAAGGTAATCAAATTAAAGATACTCTCTTAAGCGAAATATTTTTATGTTATGTACCTACATGCAGTTTTCGTCACTTGAACGTCATCAACTTGGTTGACTCTGACACCAAAGACCTTAATATCATTTTCATGAGTAAAACCAAGGCACACCTTTAATAAAAAAGACATTGGTATCCATTCAGGGTAAAACCAAGGCAAGTCATCAACTCGATCAACTCCAACGCTAAAGACATTGATATCATCTTCATGAGTAAAACCAAGGCTCACCATAGATACAAAGACATTGGCGCCTATTTAGGATAAACCCAAACAAATCATCTCAATCTGCTTCGACAAAATGACTTTGGTATTTTCCTTAGTCTAATGCACGTACCCCAAGACCTTGGTGTCATTGTGAGTAAACCCAAGGCATGAAGCCAAGTTATCCCACACGCCATACACGCAGCCGAGACGCCTCGACTCAAAAGCACACTTGTACTCAAAGAAGATTGTAAACTCTTAATATATAACAAGAATGTAATCTCAAATGCACACAATTCAAATTGACGGGCAATCTTTTTATTCATATATGAGAAAGTATTTACAATACAAAAAGGCGCTGCAAAAAAAGAAGAGAATATACATTGGGGCTTCTAAGGGGTTAGACTCGGAAGACGAGAAGGACTAAGAGATGCGGGCAGCTTGACTCCAGGAGCAGGAGTCAAACTCAGAGGAGAAGCAACAGTGGAAGTTGGTAATGAAGTCAACTAAACCTCAGCCTCGACCTCTTCACCATCTCTCCCTTCGGGTCGACTCACCCCGCTATCCTGAGCTAAGCCCTCACTGCCTCCTTGCCCCTCATAAATGCACCTCGAGACCTGACGGAGCTACAATCTTATTTCACTCAGACGCGGCTACCTCGAGTTCGAGCTAAAAGGGCCAATATTATGACAGTAATTCTCCTAAGTGTTAATCATCCTCTTGGAGTCGACACGTGTATCATATTAGCAATTATAATTGGATCAACCAAGCCCTAGCCATGGAGACTGGAGTCACCTGGGTGCTTGACCATTCCCCTGCCTAGGCGTTGACCATTCCCCTGCCTAGGCCACACCGAGGCAAGCTTTCACTCGACCTCATCATTCAAGTTGACCACCCTCATTCCTTCAAAACTGGCTCAACAACTTGCAAGGCCAACAAAAAGAACGGTATTTGCCATCCCACTCACAGAGCCAAATCCAGAGGTAGTTTGTCCTCAAACTCCACACCAACAGCTGTCTATCATCATCATTGCTAGTGCCACGAGTTTAATGACTCATCATCCCTGTACCTCCTCAATCACTATCACATCAAATCAATAGTGAGTCATATTATATGTAGTCGACACCTGTCAAGCTACCCTGTCGATTCAGCTACCTTCTTAGACTAGACCAAAGTTACTCTTCTTCCCCTCTCAACTGCGTATATATATGGGCTCATCGCCCACTGATCAATGATCCCTCGGGCACCCTTTGGGGTCACAGGTATGTCATTCCTGGCTAACTAATTTCATCATCTATATATTCTGAGCTTATTTAGTTCATTCATTCCCCACTCAAGCTCTATACTGACTTGATCGTTGGAGGAACCACCAGAGAACCCAACTCTGGTCCTCTAACGTGTTTATTTTGTACCTTTCTCGTTCTAGATAGAGGATCAACCGTCAAAGGAAATGAGGGGACCCACATCGTCCGTATCAACCCCAAACCCCGTTGCTAACTCGGGATTATCTACTAATCTCGTTGTTGAGTCTCTAGATATCAACAGCTACAAAATATCAAAACTTAATGGGATATTAGTTTAATTACCCAAAAGTTTATGAGAATAGAAACGATGGATATATTTTGCAATACATGATAATTTTTATAAGAATTGGTATTTTAAGATACATTTCCAAATTTTAATGATAATCACAGTAAACTTTGAAAATCAGAGAAAATCTCCCCTCAACTATGGGGTGTCTCTTGAAACCCCCTTAATCTTTCACATTTTTATCACCAAACCTCCCTTACATCATTTCAAAATGTAAAATAATTGAAATATCCTAAACATCAACTCATTTAGTTACAAAGAAACTCCTAACCATTAAAATAAAGAACTATTTTTAATTTATAATGCTTTTTTGCTTTTTTTCTCCCATCCTAAAAAAAGCAGAGTAATTTTTTATGATTAAGGGATATTTTGGTCTTTTCTTACTTATTTTTTTTCATGTGACATGCTAGACGTGACTATGCTAGCCCTCTGGAAGTAAAATGAGAAGAGTTAATGGGAGTTTCTCGAATTTTCAAATTTTTGGGGGTTATCTACAATAGGGTCAAACTTGAGGGGGTTTCTCAAATTAAAATAGTTGAGAAGGGTTTTCTAAACACACCCCATATTTGAAGAGGGTTAAGTGAGAAAAGTTTAAAGAGTTATCTCAAATTTTCATATCCGAGGGGGAATATTGTATACAACATACTCTAACATATAGGGAGCTTTCTCAAAATTAAAATAGTTGAGGGAGGTTTTCTAAAATTAACTCACTTTATGTAGAGAAACTTCTTACATGAGTTTTTTCCTTTAATTTTGTATTTAAATATATAATTATGAGATTTTTTAATTATGGATAATTATAATCTGATAAGGATTATAAAATATTTGATTATTAGAATTTTTTTTATTATGAATAGATTTAATTTGATGAGAATTCTTAGGTGAATATAAAATTATGTGTCCATATGTCATCTTTTGATAAAATAAAAGTTTATGTGGATGCTTATGATATGAGACATGTCAATTTTTTGTGTCTTTATAACATAGCACATGTAAATTTTTTGGGCTCTTGGAATTCCAACAATTTCTATTTATATATAAAATAGAGATATGTTCATATTGTCTATTTGTTGCCAAAATCATGTAAACTCATTATTTACTTTTATTTTATTTTTTAACTGAAAACTCATTAGTTTATTTCTCAACTTAATTTTTGCTAATCTTTAACATAATTGGGATGGAACCTATCTTCTATCCTTAGCTTATGCGTAGAATACAGATCAAAATACTAAGTTTATTTCGATAAAGAGCACAATGATATTATAGAAGTATAGATGAGACAATTTTTTGAAAATAACTAATTGAAAAGATGATTTAAAAAAAGGCTTAAAAAGGGAGAGTATACTTATGGGTCGGGTCTGCAGGGCGAACATACACCAAACCAGACCCCTTTATCGCTGCAGGTGGGCCCTCCATAACGGGACACTTATCTGAATTATCTCCTTCTTTGCTCTTGAATAATCAGATTTATTAAATAAAAAAAATTCAAGTTATAAAAAAAAAAAACAAATATAAGAAGAAAGACCTTCCCTTTGCTGCTCTGCGAACCAGAGAAATCCGCTGGCTGTGTCTTCTCTGTACTGACCTCAGTATCTTGTGTGCCATGTTCATGTAATCTCTCGCCCTCTCTCTACATTCTTTTGTTTGATTTCTTTGCTAAATTTAGGTAAATATCTGTTAATATTTGAGCTTATGCAAGAATGTGACCCATTTTTTAATAAATGACTGCCAAGATGTTTTCATTCTTGTGCGCTTGCAGCCAACTTCCGGGTTTCCTTCAAATTCTTTGATTCAAATATTGAGAATTTGTGCTCAAAGTATGTGTATCGTGGCGGTGGGAATTGCCTTTATTTTTTTACGGTTCATATTTCTTTGATATTCGGAACCATGAAGCAATGTCGCTCTTTCTCGTTCTGTAGATATTTACCATTTTAGAATAAAATTAAATATTTTGTTAATAGATATACTCACTCTACTACTCTTGGTATAATTTGATAGCTGCCTTGCAATTCAACTTTAACATATTATATATATATGTTCAAAAGATTTTAGAGGTGGCAAAATTTCAAAAAATTTGTGATGACCCATTTTCTTTGGTGACCATATGTTGTAGGTTGATGACTGAGGCAGTGCTCTATAATCCAACCACACCAGCGAAATTAATCGGATATGTGAATAACTCGAGAGAAGAAGGCAAAAGTTTGAGCCGCACAATTGGTCGCCCGAACTATGATCATGTTTTCATTGATAAACGTGGGAGACCGAGGACAATAAATCCTAAAAAGTTATCGAGGAAGAAAGGTAGATTCTTTACCTGTTATACTTTCCTTCTAGTTGTTGCGCTAGTTGGATATGAATGTTTTATTTTACCTTCTGTTTCTTTTATCTCTGGAGAGCTTATGGCCACAAAGGAGAATCTAGCGAAGTCAGATGAATATGGAAAAATGATTAGGAATTATAATGTACTAGAAGAAATGTAGAGGTTAAGCAACGATGGACATGGCGATATGCCTATGAACAAGGAGTGACATTGCATATCCAATATTTACTCAAACCAGGAGGATTCTAATACCATGTCAAGAGCCACTTTACCGAAAGCTTAAGTTACTGGATTCTTTATTAACAATGTATATCAAGTTAACATGAAAGAAGGGATTGGGGGAAAAAATGTCTTCTATGTATCAGAAAATAAAACTACATCAATTTTCATGCATTTTGATAAATTTTCTTCTTTATATGATTTACCAAACACCATTATCATTCGCGTCTTGAGGCAAACTGTTAGAGTAAAAATTTATAACCTTCGCCAAAACTTTAGAGTGTTTCTGCAGTGAAAAGGACTTAACATGGTATGAGAGCAATCCAAGTCCAAATCCTACCGACACACGCTCAAAGTTGATTGAAGGAAAAACACTGCTGCATAAGTTGGTCCATGTTTTGATCCATGAAAAGCACCCTCTACCTGCTCCCACATGTTAGATTATAAAATTATAACCATCGCCATCAAGCCTCACCAAAAACTTTAAAGTTTTTGGTGCAGCGGGAGGGATTTAACATATTGATTCGTTCATTTGCATGCATAATGTCCATATTTATTTCATTGTCACTTTTCTACCTGTTTATGTTACTAATTTCAACTTTATATTATCATCTATCTCGAGCTGCTGTTGTCTATTTCTGTTGTTATACACAGGTGGTTCCCTAAGAGGTCGAGGATGGAAGTATGGATCTGGGTTTGTCGATGGAGTCTTTCCTGTTCTTAGCCCCATGGCTGAGCAGATTCTGAGGTTTGTAATGAAGGAAATGGATGCTGAAAGGATTTGGGCTTCACTCGATACCCTTCCTCCTACCCACAATTTATGGGATGATCTCATCAATGTAGCCGTCGAGCTTCGTATAAATAAGCAGTGGAGTCCTATAGTGCCAGTAAGATGATTCAACCTTTACTCTTATTATCTTATATTCAAATTTGTGGAGAGAGCAATTTGAAGGCTTTAGTGACAATTAGCAGTGATTCAAATGTTTTTGACTAGTAGAAAATAAAAAAAATAAGTTCCTTGCGAGTTTAGATGGACTGAAAGTTCTAATCATCTCATTTTTAGGTTAAATTACAGAAAATGCTCCTGTAATCTGCAATCTTCATTAAAGTCGTGATCATAGAATATGACACTTATAAATACTCCAGTAGAAACATATATATGATTATTATATTGAGAATTGATGATTAGTTGACTACAAATCGAAAATAGGGCAGGGGAATGACGCGTTGCTTTTAAAAACCTTAGGAAGATCTTCTGTCATTCTTGCATATTATAAGGAGATTTCTTGAAAGTTACATAATTTTTATTTGGTTCCATTAAAAATTTGTGATGCCATTAGTTGCTTGATAAGCATTCATTTTTGTCCAGGTTTGTGAGTGGATTCTGTTCAAGAGCTCCTTTCATCCTGATGTAATCTGCTACAACTTGCTGATAGATGCTTATGGACAAAAGCACCAATACAAGAAGGCAGAGTCGATTTACTTGCGCCTTTTGGAAGCTCGATGCATCCCAACTGAAGATACTTATGCTCTTCTCTTGCAAGCGTACTGTATATCTGGTTTGCTAGAGAAACCTGAGGCTGTTTTCCTGGAGATGAGAAAACATGGCATCCCTCCAAGTATATTTCTCTTCACTATATTGTTTTGGATCGGTTTATGGACAACTTCTCTACTTTTTGTGAAGCTATTCATATCAGCACCCAAATCATGAATTCACGCAGAAAGAGCGTCAATTTTACTCAGGTGCTGTTGTGTACAATGCGTACATAGATGGTTTATTGAAAGGAAGAAATACACAGAAGGCTGTGGAAATTTTTCAGAGAATGAAGAGAGACCGGTGCAAGCCATCTGCTGACACTTATACTATGATGATTAATTTATATGGGAAGGTACCGTATCATCTCTTCTTTAGTTACATAGTTTTCAATATGGGACTTAAGAAACTTCTTTACCTTCTCAAATGTAATGATTAACTCCTCTAACATTCTATCGTATGATCATGTTCTTTCTATTTTCTTGTTATCTTCAATGACCATATTTTCTCTCTATGACAGGCTAATCAAGCAATTATGGCCCTCAAAGTTTTTAATGAGATGAGAACTGAGAAGGTCAAGCCGAACATATGCACATACACCGCTCTTATCAATGCTTTTGCAAGGGAAGGACTTTGTGAGAAGGCAGAAGAGATATTTGAGGAGTTGCAACAAGCTGGACACGAGCCTGATGTTTATGCTTATAACGCACTCATGGAAGCTTACAGGTTAGCGATTTCCCTTTTGATTCTCTTTCAAAGAATTCACTAGTTTCAACCTAATCTGAATCATCCTAACTATCTTCTACCGAATTTTACCTTTGCTAGATGACAACCCATTGTCATTCAATTCTTGGCCAACGTCCAGATTAATCTTTGGCATGATTGGCGGATCTCTAATATCCCTTTTAATTAACGTAGAACATGAGACTGCACGAGTATTGTGATCCTTTGGCTACTTTTGAAAGAGCAAAATTGATGAGTCTTTACCGCACAGTGTTCATCAGCTGCATATTATGCACTTAATTCTGCCCGACTTGCTGAAATTTGGACATCTTGCTCTAATACCCAAAACCTCAAGCTCATAGTTTTTTAATTGTCTTTTAGACTCTTCATGTTGTAAACAACCTACGGATGCCATCATTTTTATTTATACCCCATCTTCATGTAACTCCATCTTTTATCAATAAGAAATTGGCTAAGTCCCTTATCTTCAAAATCAGTGTTGTCAAACTATTGACAACTAATTGTCACAGTCGTGCAGGTTATCCGTATGGATCTGCTGAGATTTTCTCTTTGATGCAGCACATGGGATGTGAACCCGACAGAGCCTCGTATAACATTATGGTAGATGCATTTGGACGAGCCGGTCTTCATGAAGGTAAGTATCAGTCTAGCCCGGAAAACCCTTTACATTATTATCTTTGTGAATTCCAGATACTGTAGGTAAGCATAAGTCTAGCCCGGAAAGACCTTTTATATTTCATAAATCCCCTTGTATATTTGTATTGTCATAGTTCCATTAAAGTTTCTACATGAATGAGTGCCTTTGTAGGATGTTAAGAGACTGCTCCTATTGAGGATAAAAGTAAAATGATCATTTGAGATTGTCTGGTCATGCTCAATGGAGGCCATTAAATACCCTAATTAGAGAGGCTGTATAAGATTATTATAATTAATGGAGAAAAAGGACTAGAGGTAAGAACGATATACTAATATTAACTTCAAGGACGGGACAACCCTCAAAAGAACTCAGTGGAAGAGTAGGATTCATGTAGTTGACCCTGAAAATTCGAGATACATGCTTTCTTGTTGCTTTTATTCCTTCTGAACGTTTCCAATATACACATCCTTCATCTCTGTACCTATACATCCTCTGCAGATGCCCGTGCAGTATTTGAAGAGCTAAAGCATCAAGGGATGACACCCACCATGAAATCCCACATGTTACTCCTCTCTGCCTACTCCAAATCTGGCAACCTCCCTAAATGCGAGGAGATCCTCAACCAAATGCACAAGTCAGGCCTCCAACCCGACACCTTCGTGCTCAACTCCATGCTCAATGCCTACGGAAGGATGGGTCACTTCGAAAAGATGGAGGAAATCCTATCCATAATCAAAAGAGGCTCGTACAAACCAGATGTAAGCACGTATAACATCCTTGTAAACGTCTATGGACGAGCTGGGTTTATCGATAGAATGGAGGCGGCTTTCGGTTCTTTGGCTGGTGAGGGTTTGAAGGCAGATGTTGTGAGTTGGACGTCGAGGATGGGGGCTTATTCAAGGAAGAAGATGTACGTGAAGTGCTTGGAGATACTTGAGGAGATGGTTGATGCCGGTTGTTATCCTGATGGAGGGACTGCTAAAGTTCTTCTTGCTTCCTGTGATAGTGAGGAACAGATTGAGCAGGTTAGTACTATTGTTAGGAGTATGCATAAGGAGGTGAAAGCTGTGTTTAAGATTTGAATGGATTTATGTACTGATTGTGTTCTTCGGACTGCGTTCGTATTAGGTTGTATTTTTGTAACTTGTAAAGGTAAAGGACTAGCGCTAACAAGATCCTTCTGCCACACCAATTTATCGAAAATTTGAAGTTATACTATCCTTAGGAGTATGCTCTTTCCAATTTAATGTAGTTAACAAACAATACCAAATCTAGTAAAACCTCCATAAATATGAATCATAAAAAAAATATTAACATACCATTTTTCATTTCAATTATAACTCATGTTACACAATAAATTTCCAATTCCTGTCCTTTTTTTTTACATGAATAGCAAAGTTTAGCGCTCATCCTTCTCAATTGAATTCAAGCACTTATGTGGACGCCACACGTGCCAAATGCTTCGCACAGCATCACAAACCCTCGACCGTATACGTGTCGATACTTGCTCCACCAAAACGCCCAATCCTTCACCTCACCACAAATCTCAAAAAGGAAAAAAAAAAACCCAAAAAAATCCAATCACAAATAAACTTCACCATCAAGGACTACACCCAAATTCAAACCCTCAAACAAAAGGGGGGAAAAAAGAAATC